AACCAACTACTAATATTATAGCCATGAATGCGTTTTTGACTTTGCTAGACTTAATTTACTCCTCAATAAAATGAAGAAATTTATCTACATTATAAGGTTGATATGAGGATTAAATGAGATAACATATGAAATATGCTCAGCCCCTGCCTGGCAACTAAAAGCAATTAACAAATGAAGTCTATGTGCTTACTGTTTTTTATCTATATTTACTGAATTCTTCCTATGTGCCAGGTACTGTCCTGGGTATTGAGGATATATAATGATGAAAAAGACACTGTCCCTTTCCTCAAGATTTCACAGGGTAGTGTTAGTATTAACATGATATATTGGGCCGGGGCTGTGGCTCAGTGGTTGAGCACTTGCCTCACACGCGTGAGGCACTGGATTTGAGCCTTGGCACCACATACAAAAAATAAATAAATAAAATACTGTGTTCATAAAAAAAAATTTTAAAAACATGATATAAGAACTACTAAATTTAGCTGTGTTTTTTTTTAATGTCAAGGGACATTTGTCTCCACTTGAATCTCTTTTTAATATTTTTTTGTAGTTATAGTTGAACACAATACCTTTATTTTATTTATTTTTATGTGGAGCTGAGGCTCGAACCCAGCACCTTGCACGTTCTAGGTGAGCGCTCTACCACTGAGCCACAACCCCAGCCCCTTGAGAATCTTTTTATCATGAGCATGGGTTACTTTTATAATTAAAATTATAGTTACAATGCAGCGTAATCATTGCTGATCTGAGTTGTGTATAAGAATATAAGAGAGAAGCATCTCCTGTTGCCTGCCTTCAGAGACAATTACCATATCTAAAGTAAGATGGGCAATAGACCAGCTAGAAGGCTGCCCACAGAAGTGACACATGGGAAAGGAAATTCCCCAAAACCAGTAAAGACAGAAGGGGTGGGTTAGGAACAATTAGAGCTAAGGAAATGAAAAGCTAGGAGTCCAAGTTAGCAAGAACAGATTAGATTGTGTATCTGACTAAATAAACAAAGTAGGGACATAATGATAAGAAACAAAGAGTTTCTCCATCCAGAAGCCAAGATGGGTGAGGTTAATTGACAGTAAATGGAAGACCATGAATACCAAGCAAAGCATGTGCTGTGATACATAGTCTTAGTTGCCATTATCCCCAAACATGGTAGCATACACAGAAGGAATTTGCATAATTGAAAATAATGCTTGTATTTCTTTCCAAAAAATCTTAATTTGACATCAGCATATAAATGTACAAATGGCTTGATAGGAGACTACAAAGTAAATGTCATTGTTTTTGTTGTTTTTTTTTTATATTTGTGGTGGTGGTGGTGGTGGTAGTGGTGTAGTGGTGGTGATTGAATCCAGGGCTTTGTGCATACAAGGCAAGCACTCTACCCACCAACTGAGCTATATCCCCAGCCCTAAACGCTTGGTTTGTTGGTGTTGTGGGGTTTTTTTTAATTGTTGATGAACCTTTATTTTATTTATTTGCTCATATGCAATGCTAAGAATCAAACCCAGTGCGTCACACATGCTAGGCAAGTATTCCGCCACTAAGCCACAACCCCAGCCCACCTAACACTTGTTTTTAAAAGAACTTATTCTCGAGTCAGGACCAGACAGTTTATTTTCTTGCCCCATTTTACTTTTGTTTAATTGACTACTTCCCAAAGATACCTGAGAAGACTGCATATTTAGTTAAAATAACTGTTTTAGGTATATAATATGGCACTCAGTACACAAAATCATGACATTTATTCTTTTTCTGTATTGAATATAGATTGTGTAGAGAAAAGCCAAGTTGCATGATAAAAAGGGTCTTTTATAAAGAAATCTGTCATGTTCTAATGTGCAGTAGGGTAACTATAGATAATATTTTTTCATCACAAATTAATGGTGAATATTGGAGGAGATAGAGTCAACTTGATCTAAACATAACAGAATAAACTATTGAATCACATGGTGCCCCATAAATATTTACAATCTGTGTGTCAATTTTTAATTAAAAAAAAAAACAGAAGCATAAGGGGAAACTGTACTATGAGGAAGCCATTGCATCTTAGACTTAATATTACTAGTATACTAGTATATTCTATACTAGATACCCTTTTTTTTTTTTTTGCAGGGAGTGTGGTAATCAGTCATATGTAAATTGATGGCTGTCCCTCTTTTTATATGCATACCTCTCTCTCTGGCACAGCTGTCTTGCCTTCCAAGTTTTTTTTTTTTTTTAATAAGGCTACTTCTGTTCTTGAATGGTATCAAGTAAGTTAAGCATGACATGACTTTCAGAAGTCAGAATGGGAGAGTACTACCCTTAAATATGAAAATAGGTATTGCCTAGTTCATTGCTGTTTATCCCACACCAGAGCTTGAGGCAACCCTAGAGGTAACTATGCCATAGGCCCTTTTAGCTGCATATACTACTGAGGGAAGACTTTCCACACCCCTTCCTAGAGGTTTAGTCATCTTCCCCTTCTTCAACCCTGAACAATAAGCTCTTCCAGAGGCCTGGGACTAATCTGTATAAGCCTTCAGCTCCCTAGACCTTTCCAACATCTATTTTAGCATATGAAATTTCTGGTATGTTTTCAAGCTCATTGTCAATTTACCTCCTAACCCTAAGATTTCTCATAGCTTGTTACTTGTTTTTTAACTGAGCTTATCAAAGTTCAAGTTCATAAAAACTCCACTATTACAATTTCACCCACTTGAGAAGAGTTAGAAAATCCGAATGTTCCTTGATTCCAAATATTCAAACATTCTTACTGTGTTATAAACAACAAAAAAAAAAGTTGTATATATTTTTTCTAATTTATTTTTCTTAGCTTTCAAAATAATTTATTTAAAACGAAAAATGAATAGGCTTACTGCCACACTTTAGTTGTGCTAAATTGTTTGGCTGTAACTTTAGTGGTGATGGAGACAATTTTCAAACTGTGGAATGTGTTCTGTTTGGATCTGACAGCTGGCTATATTAAATATCTTGGAGCTTTTTACTTTGCATGAGGAGGGGAAATTGGGAGGGTGGGAACAGCAGTAGAAGAAAGCAATCCACTTAATTTAATGTTCTGTGTTTGTTTGCTGATTCCAGTAATAACACTGTGCAGCTGTTTGAACAGCTGCCTTTTGATTTTCTTTGTTTAGTGTTTAGGTTTATTAAGCTTGTCTTTAATACTTATTGTCTGCTCTTTAACTAGCATTCCTTCTTTATTGAATATATTTTAATATGTACCACTCTTGTGATCAAAGCATGCTTTGATGTATATAAGTTAATTTACTAAAGAAAGAACTTTTAAATTTTTGCAGCTCATAATGAAGATGGCTTATACTTACTTTATTATTATCCCTTAGCTGTATCATTGTAGTTAAATATTTTATAATTTGATGAATTGTCTATTGAAATTAAGTCAGGATTTAAATTATATTAAGCAACAGTTTGTTAATTTTCCTGAGTCTGCCAACAGGCAGCTTAGTCTACATATTCCAGACTAGTAAAAAAAAGAAAAAAGAAAAAAAATTGGCAGACTAATTTTAAAGCATGTGGATTTTGTTTTAACTATTTTGTATGAACAGATTGGGTACCTAGAAAGTATACACAGACATACACAGGTAAAAGAGATATTTTGTATTTATTTGTCAGTCTTTTTTTAATGTTTATTTTTAGTTTTTTTTAGATGGACACAATATCTTCATTTTATTTTTATGTGGTGCTGAGGATCGAACCCTGTGCCTCATGAATGCTAGACCAGCACTCTACAACTGAGAACTTGCCTAGCACGTGCTTACATGGCCCTGGGTTTGATCCTCAGCACCACATAAAAATAAGTAAATAAAATAAGGATACTGTGCCCATCTACAATTAAAAAATAAATATTTTTTAAAAAGACAAGTCGACTTGCTATAAATTTCTTCATATTGTGGCAATTTTTTATATTTACAGGTGAGGGACTTGTGCATTGCTTACATGCTGGTGACATTAACTTATCTCTATATTGGAGTCCTGGTTTTTGCTTCATTTCCTTCACCACCATTATCCAAAGATTGTATTGAGCAGGTAAGGCACTGTGTGCCCTCTTTGTGTGATTCCTTATACTTTCGTTTATGAATTGTAGGCACTATGCTATAGTAACAAGATATAATATCAGACAGACCTAGGTTTGAATACCATCTCTACCATACCCTCAAAGTGTAGGAATTTGGACACCTTTCCCAATCTTTTATGAGCTTCAATTTCCTTTTCCATTAGATAGTGTACATACTCTGTCTGAAATAACATACTAGATACCAGGCACCTGTGGTATTCAAATAAATGGCTTATATGATGTATATTATTTACCTTTGTGTGGAGAATAGTTACAGTTATTGTTATTAATTTATAAAAACTCTACAGAGAATTCCCTGACCTGCCTTGTTTTCCAAAGCCCAGATCTTAAAATGCCCTGGGTAAACTGTTCTGAGTTCATAATCTCTAATGATAGATCTGACTCATTTAGATACTGAGTTGCTACTGAAAACAAAGACAGACTATTTGGCTGCTTAAAAAGACAGAAAAAAAAAGAGAAAAAAAATCTTTCACTAAAAAGTTACCATAAGTAATATTTTCTTCGATTTAATCCATCAAAAATTTAGGAATAGTATACTCTTTTTTGGGAGGACGGGGATACTAGGGATTGAACTCAGGGGGACTTGACCACTGAGCCACATCCCTAGCCATATTCTGTATTTTATTTAAGGATTAGGGTCTCACTGAGTTGCTTAACACCTTGCTTTTGCTGAATCTAGATTTGAACTCCCGATCTTCTTGCCTCTGCCACCCAAGTCACTAGGATTACAGGCTTGTAACACTGCTCCTAGCTAGGAATAGTATACTTTTTATTGTGACTACAGAATTTTTCATTAAAAGAAAAAACAAAAAACAGCATTTCATGGTTCCTTTCTAAAAGATATTCCTCCAGTAGAATATAGTGGTATATACAATGATTTATTACAACTGAATTATAAAATTTATTTCAGCAGAATAGTGTTAAGTACTATTCTCATTTCTCTAGGAGGAAGAGGTTACTGCTGTTATAATAGTTTGAAATGTTCTTATTCTCTTGATTTCTTTGATTCCAGAAGTTCTTTGTCAGGCAGATATTTGCTGAATTCCCAGATATGAACAATCCCATACAAAGCCTACTCCCTTGGGAATAGGGATATTTGTGGTATTTGTATTTGAAAGGAAAAATGTTTTAAATTGAGTGACTAATTTTTTTTAAGATATCAAACTAAAGGGGTTATGAAACACTGTAGAAATAAATTATTTTTTTACTTAATGTTATACTGTAAACAGTGGTGGTACTAGATGATAGATATACTTTCACCTTATTCTATAATCTGTACTATGAAAGCACTACAGTACTTCAGAGGAGGAAAAGCAAGAAAGCTAAAACAGCATTAAATTTAATTTGCCATTTAAATATATTAAAAAGGTTTTTGTTTTTGTTTTTGTTTTAAATTCAAAGCAATTGCAGACTGATACTTTTATAAAAGAGTAAATATATGGCAGTATCTTAACTTCTATAAATTTCTCAGCATTTACTTTCAATATCTGTACTTTCCTCATTGAAAAATAGCTAAGGAGCAGTTTGTGGATGGGCACCAGTTCACAGTCCACAATTTGAGTAGCACCTGTGTTCAAAATAAGCAGAAGACTATCCATTTTATGAATTTGTATGTACTGAATTTGAGTTTTAACATTACCTCATTATCTTTCTTGGGTTAGAATTTTTTAGACAACTTCCCTAGCAGTGACACCCTGTCCTTCATTGCAAGGATATTCCTGCTGTTCCAGATGATGACTGTGTACCCGCTCTTAGGCTACTTGGCTCGAGTCCAGCTATTGGGCCATATCTTCGGTGACATTTATCCTAGGTAAGGACTCTTCTCTTGACCAGCAGGATGTGCCAAGCAACAAATGACTATGCAAACAGGTCAGTTTAAAGTGTGACTGATCCTTTTGCTATAAAAATTTGCCTAATGAAATGGTTACTAAGGATAGATCATTGATGTCCCTTTCCCAGAAGAGCTTTAAATATAGAAGCCACTCCCTTGTCCAGAATAGATTTAGGTTCATTCCTTCCAGTATAGCTAATTAACTGATATCAGTTATATATATCTTATGACTTAGTTGCTATTATTTTACATATTGCTAAGAAGCACAAAATATGTCATACCTGTGTTGTTATGTGTGCTAATGAGAAGCAACACTCTTATGTAAATTATTGGTCATTGATACTTACTTGTGTGTTATTGACATTTGTGCATTTTTGACATAAATGATCAGACGTTTAGAATTGAAGATGAGATATATGAGTGTATTTCTTACTTGATATATGACAAGTTTAAATTACAGTGGTAAATTTTAATCTCCTGTTGGATATGGGGGAATTGTGAGTCCCTTTGAAAATCAGTTTTAAGCTAAGCTTGTTACCCTTATCCAAGAGAAGTTTCCATGTATGGTTTAAGGGTTTCCATGAAATCTTCTTGTGGATCCCTGATTAACCCCTTCCTACTCTTACTTTGGTTTTTTATTGTTGTTGTTATTTTCTTTTTGCAATACTAGGGATCAAGCTCAGGGGATTTTTATCATTGACATCCTCAGTCCTTTTTATTTATTTTGAAACAGTCTTGCTAAATTGTCAAGGCTGGCCTCAAACTTGTGATCCTCCTGCCTCCTGAGTCCCTGGGCTTACAGGTGTGTGCACCTGTAATTACCACACCAGGCTTATGTTGTTTTATTTTAGGTTTGTCTTAGTGAAAAGTACCTAGTCCTATTTTATTGGGAATAAATTATCTTAAAGGAAGAAAACTTTAAAATATGGGGAAAGTTGCATTTTACCATGACAAACTGAATAAGTGATCTTAGCCACTTCTTGTTGGAAATGAACTTTAAGTAGTCTGTTCCCTCAGTAAGTAATTATATCTATAAATATGTTGGTTTAAAAGCAAAGCAAAAGTCAAGAGTTATCAGGTCTCAGGAGTGGGGGGCATAGCTCAGTGGTAGAGTACTTGCCTAGCATGCATGAGGCCCTGGGTTCTATCCCAGCACTGAAAGAAAAGAGAAAAAAAAGAGTTACCAGATCTCTAAGATTGATAGTAGCAACAAACTACATTCCTAACGTTGCTAATCTAGAAGACTGGAGTTCAGTAAATATAAGACTCCTGTTGTGTTTATTCTCTGTGCTATACTTATATTCACCAACATAAAATAAATTTTGTGAATTTATGGATGAACAAATTCTGGACAAATGCATTACTTCTGTTTTCTGCCATTATTTTGCAGAATGTTGGCTGTTAGACTGTTTTTTCTTCTTGCAAAATGTCTGGGATTTCCCTTTCGTGTTCACATTACATTTATTCCCCTGTCACCAAGAACACACTATCATTTATCCTACAGTTACAAGTACGCTGCAGCCTCTGCATACTTTGGTCTCAGGACCCCTTTATGCTGTTAAAATTTATTGAGGACCCCCAGGAGCTTTAGTTTTTGCAGGTATATCTATCAATATTTAACATGAAAAAATAAGATTTAAGAATTTTAAAGTATTTGTTAATTTCCTTAAAAATCAATAAGCCCAGGTGCAGTGGTGACCACCTGTAGTCCCAGCTATTTGGAAGGCTGAGGCAGGAGAATCTTGAATTCAAGGCCAGCCTGGTCAACATAAGCAATGCGGAGATACCCTGCCTCAAATAATAATAATAATAAAACCATTATTTGTTAGCATTAATAACATTTTTTCAAAATATAACTACTTCCAATTTTTTTTAACATTTTAAAACTCTTTAATGTCTGCTTCTCTAGTGGACAATTGGATTCCCTTTTGTTTCTGCATTGTCTGTTATAATATATTGATTTCATTTAAATATGTGAAGAAAAATCCAGCCTCACATAGATATACTTGAAAACTATAGGGTTTTTTGGGGGGTGGGGTGGGGTTCTTTGGGGGAGTGTGGATTTTTTGTTGTTGTTGTTTTGTTTTGGGGGGTTTTGCATTCCTAGGGATTAAACCCAGGGACACTCTACCACAGCTACCTACCCAGCCTTTTAAATTTTTTTAATGTTGAGACAGAGTCTCACTAAGTTGCTGAGGGTGTTGCTAAGTTGCTGAGGCTGGCCTTAAACTTGTGACCCTCCTACCTCAGTTTCCCAAGCAGCTGAGATAACAAGCATGTTCAACCGCACCCAGCAAGAAGGGGTATTTTTAACAGCCTTTTCAGACAATGGTGGATATTCTTTGATACTATGTCAAAACTTTGACAAGTGGTAGTTTGTTATAGATGCAGTGTATAATCAGAAATTTAATTACATTAAAATTTATTGGTGTTTCTTGTACATTGGTTCTTTTACCTATCATGCATGGTCAATATTGGTTCACTGAGTTCTGCAGATCTCCCAAATGTTAACACTCTTTTTTATACATTACCAAAACCCACATTCATTATTATCAATTATCAATAATTTCATCATGAAATTCTTTAAGTTTTGGGAAACTCTCAAGTTCAGGTGGCAAATGCAAGTTCTTCAAAATTATAGTTTTTATTTGAAAGCTCACATGCTATCATTGGCAATAAATACTGCAGGTTGTTTCCTAAAGTGATAAGCTCATCATTTATTTTAAAGAAAATGTCTGTCAAACACCCAAGTTTGTTTTTGTTTTTACAGTACTGGGGATTAAAGCCAGGGAGCTTTACCACTGTACTATATCCCCAGCCCCTTTTATATTTTTTATTTTGAGACAGGGTCTTGCTGAATTGCCTAGTCTGGCTTCAGACTTACAGTCCTCCTGCCTCAGCTGAGATTACAGGCATGCACCAACAGCAGCCCCCCCAACACACACACATACAAAAAAAAAAACCACCCAAGTTTGGATGACCATCATTGTCTGCATATCAAGTAAAAATAGCAGCATTTGGGAAAAACAGCTAGTTTGGCTTCCAGTTCTACTGCTCAAGCACTTTTTCCCAAGAACATACAGGAGATATGCTCTATTATGTAATTCCCATTTGATCAATAGAATATTAAAAAGATATATATTCAAAGCATGAATTTTTTCTGTTATTTTCAGACTGAAGCTCAAACCCAGGTCCTTGCACATGCTCAACACATGTTCTACCACTGAGCTGCACCCCAGCCCTCAACAGCATTTTTTTCTTTTTCTTTCTTTCTCCTCCCTCCCCACAGTATTTGGCATAAAGAATACAAATTACAGATAGGTACAATTACCTATACCCATGCTAAGGGGCCAGAATTTTGAATCACCATTACCTTTACAAAGCAAATAACATCTTGTAGTATGAAAAAACTTTTACCCAGGGACTACCTGAAAGGATATTGGGAAGCCCTGAACTTCATGATCACACTTTAAGAACTACCACTTTGGAAAATATAGAAAGTTATTTCCTTTTACAATAACAAAGAAAATAACAAAGGCCCAGCCAGGTCTCAAAGTCCTGAAGCAATTTTAAGATTTGAGTTCCTAAATAAATAGTAAGATCTTGAAGCCTAATATCTTTGTAATTTATCAAGATGTATGACTGACCACTTATTTGCATAAGGGATTTTCCTTATTTTTAGTTCTCTGTAATCTTTATCTGAGATTAATTAATCTCTGATGATTTGGTCCAAAATGTTGCTTTGATATGTACATTAGACTTCCAAGAATCATTTTGGGGGGAAATATTTATTTCCTTGGCATCAGTGTTTATGTACATTTATTGTTACTTGTTTCCAAAATTAATTCCCAACCTTGAATTGTTAATATCTAGCTAAAGTATTTAGTAAATATTTATTCATGAATAGCTTTAAATAAATCTGAAAAATAAATACTTGTCCATATATATTGCCTTTCCCTTAATATATAAATTTTTTCTATTATAAATGTTAAGGTAAATATTTTGCAAACAATTAAAGTATAGAAAAGAGGAACATTACGTGAAATTCTAAATCCTAATACTATCCATATTACTGCTTTTCCAGAGTGTTTACATCTAATATTTTTTCAAATATTTTTGGATTTTCTTCTGTAGTGAAAATCTAGCTAGCTCTTTTTTAAATTTGTTAGGTAATTTTTTAAATCATCTAGGTAATAATGATGTGATTCTTAATAATTGTTACTATATTCTGTCAGGTAAATTGTTGCCTTACATTTTTAATAGCTTTTTTCATGGTTTTGATTATTTTCTCAAGATATTCCAAATGGAATGATAGATCAAAGAATATGAATTCTGATACATGCTACCAGTTTGCACCTACAGAATTTGGCCTATTTATGTAATTGCATTAAAGGGCCAATTTCACTGTCTTGTGACCAGCAGTGAGTACTATTGTTTGCCTGTTATTTTTGCTGTGATCTTATTGACAATTCATTTTAAAGATGTTAAGAATGAATTTTGTTCTTATATTAGTGGTTACAATTTGCTTATTTATATATATATATATTATTTTTCCTTTTAATTCTCTTCTCACCTTGTAGCATTTTCCACGTGCTGATTCTTAATCTAATTATTGTGGGAGCTGGAGTGATCATGGCCTGTTTCTACCCAAACATAGGAGGGATCATAAGGTACTGCCTGTACCCTTTTGATGCATTGGCCTTTATTTTTAGGCTTTTCCTGATTTGTTGTCATTGTCACAGTCATTGTCATTGTTGTTTTAATTGTATCTAATTCTATTAGTTTTTAAAACTGGTAGCATTCAAATGTAGTTCCCTGGTATCAGTTGAGGTTCTCATTAAATTTCATTTCTGTTTATTTCTGGTGGAAAATAGACTGTAGAAGCCCCATTATCCCTAAAGCTTCAGGCACCTTTCTCTCTCTCTCTCTCTCTCTCTCTCTTGCTTTCTCTTGTTTTATCCCACTGTATTTCCTTTATTTTTCAACCCCAAAAAAGGTATTCTTACTGTATAATACATAAATTCTTGTGACTGCCCAGGAGGTCCTTTATATGTCAACTTCCTTAATCCATCTATTCAAAAACATATGTCAGTATCCATTTTAGTCAAAAAGTAAGAGTTTAGGTCCCAGAGGAGACTCTATCCTTAATAACTTTTCCCTAAAAAGTTGTGACAGATTGAGTAGGGTGGAAATAAAATTGTGACCTCAGATTCTTATGTTAAACTGGTTCAGAATGATCTGATTTCTCTTCCTTAATACAGACAGCAAGGCTGAGTCACTTTTTTGAAAGCCCTTATCTAAAAAAGTAACAAAATCAATGATTCATGAACAGCATTATTTGAGCCATTTGCCATTATACAAAAAGAAATACTTATTTTAAATAAAACAGGTGTAGGGGGAAAAAGAAACAAGAGAGGAGATTATTAGCCTGATACATATTGAATGTATTGGTCTCTTAAGTTTCTATTAAGCCATTCCTAAAGAAAACTGGGAAAGAGAGAGGAAAATGCCTGTTTTTCTGTCACAATCTCATGTTTAGATATTTTTGTTAATATCCTTGATAATTATGCTAAATGCCACAGTAGTACTCATCTATTTTCATTCTTAAGCAGATACTAGTAGTCCCTCACAAACTCAAAATGTGTAATTAGTTTATAAAGATCAAAGATGGGAAGCCTGTCTCCAGATGTTTCTGAGGAAGTAGCTACAATCACTGAGGCACAGAGGAACTAGGGAGATTTGAGGGATGAATAAAAACCCTTTGTCAAGCAGATGTTATAAAGATGAGCAGGAAATAATTGTTTTTATTAACAAGTAAAATAAGTTTAAGCCCAATGTCAGCAATAAAAGAATCAAAGTAATTTTGTCACAATATGAGACTGAGGAAGATTTAAAGTTTACTGTATTTGCCTTAATTATAAAACAGAAAAAGCAAAATGTAAGGTGAATATTAATCCCCAAAGCTTTTATTTTGCAGATATTCAGGAGCAGCTTGCGGTCTGGCCTTTGTATTCATATATCCATCTCTCATCTATATAATTTCTCTCCACCAAGAAGAGCGTCTGACATGGCCTAAATTAATTTTTCATATTTTCATCATCATTTTGGGTCTGGCTAACCTAATTGTGCAGTTTTTTATGTGAAAACTGTTTTCTTAAGATCTTTCATGGTATTTTGAGTCTTGACAATAGTTCTACATAAACTTACTTGTAAATGCTGTTGCTGCTGTAATTCTAAATGTTTTTTCTAAAATAATTTGAAAGCAAAGGTCTATTACTAAGTATTTTTTTATTAGAGTGGGAAAAGGATCAATAAGAATTAATAGTCTCTTTACCTTTATCATATTCACTTACCTCTTCATTCTCATTTGTCTTTTTTAAGTAGATATATAGGAAAAAAATCATAGAGTGTCCTGCTTAGAAATATAAGGTAGGTGGACTTATTTTAGCTATAATAAGGATTCTCAGGGTTTCACAGCATTTGCTAGCATATTACTAGATCCTGTTTCTGCTTTATGTTTCCATGTACTCAATTTCATTTTCGTTTTCTAGAGTATGTCTATAGGCTTAAACTTCTACCACTTGGGACTGTAAACCAAATACCTCATTTTTTTAAAAAATGCTTCCGTGGCATCAGTGTTAATAGAATGAATTCTTAACTGAATCTTTGATCTCTGTTTGAAGGGCAAAAATTTAAAACAGTGTTAGTATGGGCTTCATAATCAGAAAATTATGCAAAATGAATTAGAAGAGTTTGTTGCTGTCTGACTCCTCCTTTATTTCTAATCCAGTTTCAGTTTTGTAGGCTGAAATTATAGTTGCCCAAACCAAGTTTTGCATTGGAACAAGAATGATTGTCCCCATAGACTCAGGGGCCCCTTCTGCTTTCTGGATCCCTGAATTGCAGAGGCTGTCATGACAGGCTCAATGGGGAAAGCATGGGCAGAGAGAGGCATATGAGGCCCTGCAGGAGAGAAAAGGTAATGGAGAAGAGGCCTGGGGAGGTAAGGCTCTGCCCAGCATATCTTGACTCCTCTGGGAGTGAGAGTTGTTTCTCTACCACAGAGAAGGATTCATTCTGTTTAAACATGACTTCCAAAAGGAGACCCCCATCTGCTTGCTTCTGCAATTGGCCAGGCAGAGTTCAATCCCCATAAGAAAAACTTACATCCAAAAAAAAGATTAAGAAATCTGGATTCTTAGAATTAAGAATCTTTTTTCTCTGATTTTAGGCTAAAGTTCATAAATGTGTTGATAAAGATTTCACATTCCAGGATAATGTGTAAATTTGTATTATTTCCTTCCGTGCAAAATATGGGTAAAATCATATTGTATGCCTAGTAAGGAGCTCCATATTTAAAACCAGCCTTAATTTCTTTCAGCAAAGTTTTCCATTCTATTCATTGACCCATATGTCTATATTAATGATAATTTATAATTCCTGAAGCTTTTTTAAAAGTCTCATTATGAAAATTCTCAAACACACACAAAAATAGAATAATATGGTACACACCTACACATCCATACCCAGAGTTTAGTAATTGCAAGGCTTAGCTGCTTTTGTTTCACCTATCCTTTTTGTTCTTTTCTACTGAAATATTTTTATAGTCAATCTCAGACATTATGTCATTTCATTTCTACATACCCTAACATATGCAGCTAATAGCCTTTTAAACTTAGTTACATTTATTATGGAGATAGTCTCAAAGTTTTTGGTAGCAGAAACTGCTGGTAAAAACTAGGTCAATTGGAAAATTCTGTATTAGATGTCTCAATTCCTGTGTTAACCTCTCCAAGTATAAGGAATGAAGAAATGATTCTGTGCTTGAGAGCCTCTGGATCTATACGACTTATTCAGTTAAGAGATATAAGATGCAACTACACTAGAGAGATCTTCTAGGCTCAATCCCTATTTATTCCTAATTACTTCCCTTCTCTTTATGAACTTTAGAGATAAAGTTTCCATTGCCTCTTTTCGAAAATGTACTTGAATGCTTTAACACATGCAAAAATGATTTGATGTGTTTTGCCCATTTAATGGACAAAGGAAATATGACAATGAATGTGTTATTTTGTCAGCTGTTAGAATTTCTAAAATCCTGTTAGATATATGCTTAATGGCATAAGAGATTATCTCCTTTGGCCTGTTATTGGCATGGTTAAACACTTTGTATTTGAATGTATGTGTCCTGACTCACACATTAGCATAACAAGATATGAACTCTTTAGGATCACATGACAATTAATTTGAGATTTTCCTCTACTGTTTTATCTTTTTGAATTTTCTAATTAAGTTTTTTTTTTTTTTTTACTTTTTGCTCTGATGAGGTTAACTTTAGCTGCTTTGAAGGTAGCTTTTTTAATATACAACTGAAGGACACTATAAAATTTAAAATGGTTTCTTTAGAGAGGTCTTCCTTAGAAATGCTGTGGAAGAATATGTGGCATATGCCAATACTAAATTAGAAAGGACAAAGAAAATGTAACTAAGTTTGATACCTGTGGAGGATCATCTGAGATCAATTTCATGAGCAAATCCAAAAACTCATGGGAGTACAAAATAAATTTATCCAAAAAAGGAGACTATATTATATGGAAATGCTTTATATACATTAAGTATATTTTGTAAATACTATGTAAAGTCTAGTAGTACACTTTTTTGTTTCTCTTTGGAGTTCACTGGTAGAATTTTTTGTGTTTTGATATACTCATTTCCATAAATATTGAATAAACTACAATGTTCTGTGCTTTGGAGGAGACAGAGGTGAATAAGACATCATTCATGTTCTAAAGGAACTTTCAGTCTAGTAAAGGACCTGTGTTCACAACAATGAATGTTGCAAGACAGTTCATGCTGAGCACCTTTGGTGGGCATCCTAGGGTGGGCTGGTAAAGCAAGCTGAATTATGAAGCAACAGGGCCCATTGTCAGGCTCCTCCTAATAACTGCCAAAAATTTAATTTTTTTAATATTATTTTTTAGGTGTAGATAGACACACACACCACTTTATTTTTATGTGGTGCTGAGGATCAAACCCGGGTCCCACCCATGCTTAGGCGAGTGCTCTACCGCTGAGCCACAATCCCAGCCCCCAAAATTTTAAATATTTGATGTTTGCCAGCAAATGGAATCATATGTTAAGTATATTTGCTTTCACTTGGGTAAATTTCCTCTAAGTCAAGTTTTACAAGATGTGTTTAACTGCTTCTTAATGCTGTTACTCTTTGCGTTCTTAGCACAATCTGTTATTCACTTCTGTGAGTCATGCACAGCAAAGCCAATTGATTTATAGGGGAAATAATTAGAAACATATTGGGTGGTACAAACAAAAACATTCTATATAATTTTCTGTCAGGCTGGGCATGTAACTCAGTGGTAGAGCAGTTATGTACCACGTGTGAGGCCCTGGGTTCGATTCCCAACACACACACACTTTTCTCCAGAAATTTCACATGTTTAAATGTCAATATTCATAATCTCAAATGTTTGAGCCATTGATAACAGCAGGAAATATTGATGCTATATATTTTCTTTACAAATCACTGACCTGTTGCTTTTTAGAATCTGGTAGTTGTTTTGTTTTTGGTTTCGTTTTGTGCTTTGGGGAATAGATCAAACCCAGGGCCTTGCACATGCTAGCCAACAGTCTACCACTGAGCCATGTCCCCAGACTTTGTTTTTTTCTCAGATTCATCCCAATTGGAATGTCCAAAACCAAATTCAAATATAGTTGATACTTAAACAGTAGAATGTGACATTAGTTTGTAATCCAAAATAAAATTAATCCTCTTAATGCACACAAACTGACCTGACTGGTCCCAGTTTTATACTTAACTGCCATTTCACTTCAGATTATGTAAACACATATTGCAAAACAGCGCTGATGGGAACCTCCTAACCTAAATAGTATTCTCTGAAATGTAATTCGTTTTTTCATAGGAAAGTAGAAATTAAATCAGTTTATTTGAAAGAAAAATATTTCTGGGATTTTGTTTACTTAATTTTTGCTGGGAAATGCTATTGTCTCCTTGCTTTGGCCCCAGGACAGGAAAACCTTAGGTTCCATCTTTTGCAGGGTCAGACTTCTAAATGACTATGACACTGCAGATATGCTTGGTCCTGTTTCTAGCAAAATGTTGGTGTCATCATTTTCCAGAGTCCCTTAAGTCAAAAAAGGCCTCTAAATTTCTGACTTCCCTAAGTAAAATTACTTTTTTTCCCCAACATAATTTTTATTGATTTCCAAGTTCTTCTGAAAAGGTAAAATAAGGCTATGTCTTTTTAAAAGATTGGAAACTTTTCCATTCTCTTTATTGACCTCAGACCATATAGTACAGGTCTGGGACAGGGATGAAAAGGCATTCACTCTCCAGATTTTTCTTCCTTTGGTTCTCTGTCAATACCAAGTAATCTAGGCACTCAGTTTACACTTGTTTAATTAACTATACAGGATTCTTCTTTAGTAGAAAATGATGTTAATTGCTATCATCTAGGATTTTATTCCATACATCTTCCCCTCCAAAAATATTGGGTCAGTCACATTCAAAGTTAGTCACTCAGTTAATATTTGAATACTAACTGCATGCCAGATCTTGTACTAAACACTGAGCTTACAGTGAGGAACAAGCCAGACGTGACCCTCACAGTTTGTCATCCTTTGCAACTGGGTCGACTGTCTTCCTTAGGTATCACTTCCCACCTCCCTGTCTGTTGAGTGCCGTGATTGAGCCACATCATACACATTTTTAAAAGATGTATATAGGATAGTGCTGCTCACTTGGTAAAGTGAGCCATGTTTACCAGCATAGTATTTTTTCAAATCCAAGGTTAATTATAATCACATTAAAATTAGGTGGACAAAAACTGGAAGGTGCCACAGATGAATAGGTGACTTTTGAGGTGATGGATTCTAGGTGAATCATTTTTGTTCTTGCTTTGACATTTGCCTAGCAAATTTTTCTAAAAAGATTTCTGGGATAAATCATGGCACAGAAATCTTGTGGAAGTATATCAGCACTCAACCATGAGGTAGAAAACCTTCAAATGGATTACAGACAGCTTTGATTACAGGGGCAGATTCAGGTTTTATGGGGCCCAAAGTTTATATAATTTGGAGTTACCTCTTTAAAGAAAAACGTATAAAATTAGGAGCCTCAAATTAGGAAGGAGCCCATAGACGTGAGGAACTCTAGCTTTAGCTTTTTTAGCATTAAAATAAATCACACACAAACCATTCTAGGGAGAAGGGAAATGTTTGAAAGCTGAAGAAGGAGAAATCCGGAAATGTTTCAGACTCCCTATTCAATGTGTCAAACTTTACATTTCTCTGCCACCTTTAAGAACTGTATCTTTGCCGACTACATTGGTGCATGCCTGTAATCCCAGTGACTCTGGAGGCTGAGGTAGGAGGATCGAAAGTTCAAAGCCAGCCTCAGTAACTTAGTGAGAACCCTAAGCAACTTAGTGAGACCCTGTCATAAAATTAAAAAAAAAAAAAATTGGCTAGAGATGTGGCTCAGAGTTAAGTGCCCCTGGGTTCGATCCCTGGTACCAGGGACATTTTTTTTTTTTTCCCAGATTGGAGAGTTTTTACCTGGCAATGGGTTTTGCAAGCTATTAATATTTTGTTGTTGCTGTTGTTGTTGTTTTAATTAATCTCTACAGAGATAACAAAAATTCAAAGAATGCTGTTTAATTTTCAAATAGTAGTCTTTGTCTACCTTAGGGATGAGTAATGTTTTAAGGGCCATTGATAAAGAAAACAAGTTACCTACAGCAGAATTAAAGTAAGGCAACATTTATTGATTTATATTCCACCTTGTTCCTGAAAGAAAATATTTTTATTCTCTTAAAGAAAATCAACTTTAAAGGACTAACTTGAAGACTTTTTAGAAAGCATTAGAAATTTATGATATTCCTTGAAGAGAGAAAACGAAAATTTGATTCAAATAAATAATTACTCCTCAATGCCATATCATTTATAATCCTGTACTGTAGATAAAAGCCAATATTTAATGCACAAAACTTTCACTAATTATCCTAGATTTGGAAGTGCAAAGATAAAATCAGAATAAGTACCAGATTTCTCTTTATTTAATTGAAACTATAGCCCTTCCCTGTAAAATCTTTTTAATGCCTCAGTAGAAAAACAGGCAAGGGCCTTTGTAACAGAAAACTGCAAATGAACATGAGGAGAAAAAAGTTTAGCAACAAATGACTTCTAGACAGATTTATTTGCAACACACAATCGCAGAAACGTTATGCCAACTGAAAGAAGCCAACTGCAAAATAACTACACTTTGTATGTTTCCATTGATATGAAATCTCTATAAAGGGCAAATTATAGGGAAAAAAAAAAGTAGAACAGTGGTTTTCTAGAACGTGAAGTGGGAGCAGAGGTTATCCATGGGTATAGGGGAACTTTCTGGGGTGGTAGAAATGTTCTAGAAGTGGATTGTGGTATTGGTTGCCACTGTACATTTACTGAAATCATTGAATTGCACACTGACATTGCTTGAATTTTATGATATGTAAGTGATCCCTCAAAGCTGTTTTAAAAAACTCAACCTCCGAGGGGGAGCTGGGGTAGTGGCTCAGTGGTAGAGCGCTTTCCTGGCACATATGAGGTGCAACATATAAATAAATAAAAGATCCATTGACGACTAAAAAAAAACAATTCAACCTTATTAGTAGGAAAGGAAAAATAATGCTTTCTACTTGGTAAATAACAATAATACAACAAAGATGTGGAAAGCATATGCTTGTACACAAATAATAGGTGTAAAAGTGGTGCAGACTTTCTGAAAGTAATTTGGGAAATTTATACTAAAACCTCAAAATGGGGCTCAGTGGTTGAGTGCTTGCCTTCCATGTGTAAAGCACTGGGTTCAATCCTCAGCACCACATAAATGAATGAATAAATAAGATTTTAAAAATATATTTTTTTTAAAAATCCTCATATCATTTGACTCACTTCCAAAGGAAAATTCCAATGAAAAAATTGGACAAATGTGGTCAGTCACTCAGAGATGTTAATCTCCTTATTATATGTAATGGAAAAATTAGAAATAGTTGTCCAGTGTTAGGAGATAAATTATGAAATCTCCTTAACAATACTATGTAGCTATTTAAAATGATGATGCTGATGTATATATGTAATAAATGTCACAATGATGTTTATAAGGGGGGGGTTACAGTTACTTGTGTAGAATTATAAAAATATTTGTTTGTACACATGCATAGAAAAAGGTCTGGAAGTTTAACAATTATGAACATTGATTACCTCTGGGTGCACCTTTTTATTGTTTTTTGTTTATATTTTATAAAGTTTTAAATAAAATGTATCATATTCTATGGGGAAAAAGCAATAAAAATTTTTTATTTAAAAATATCTTTCATTGACTTCTCATCACTTAAAACTGTAGGGGCCATTTTTGATATTAAGAACAGTCCAGAATGGAAAGTTCTGGACTGGTGGGTGGCTCAGTTGTAAAGCACTTGCCTGACATGTGTGAGGCACTGGGTTCGATATTCAGCACCATATAAAAATAAATAAATAAAACTAAAGGTATTGTGTTCATTAAAAAAGAACAAAAAAATTTTATTAGTGCATTATAATTGTACATAATAGTGGGATTTGTTGTAACATTTGTACATACCCATAACAATATAATTTGGTCAATTTCATGGAATAAAAATTCTTCATACACCACAGTAGTAGTAATTTTAGTGTTTATTGATTGATGAAAATAATGACTAAAAGCTATTACAATTTCTATACCACTGATATACCACACTGGTTTGATATATTATCATAGTATTTGCAGACGTTTAAACATGTTTCTAGCTGGGCACAGTAGCACACACCTGTAATCCCAGCAGATCAGGAGGCTAAGACAGGAGGATCGCAAGTTCAAAGCCAGCTTCAGCAAAAGTGAGGTGCTAAGCAACTCAGCAAGACCCTGTCTCTAATTAAAATACAAAATAGGACTGGGGATGTGACTCAGTGGTCGAGTGCCCCTGAGTTCAAACCCAGTACCAAAAAAAAAAACCAAACATGATTCTATCAATAGAAAGTAAGAAGATATTCTACTTCCTGGTTCCTGCCTCAGACTGAACCCAGAGTAGAATTACTTGAGCTATTTATTCACTATAATAGCCAGGGAACAGAACCAATAGAAGAAATTTATATATAGATATAGGGACATGGGGAGATTTATTTTAAGGAATCTACTAATTGTCATGAGGCTGGCAAGTTGAAAATCTGCAGGATAGGCTGGTAAGATAGAGATAAGTAGGGCTGGGGTTGTAGCTCAGTGGTTGCCTCTAATGCATGAGGCACTGGGTTTGATCCTCAACACATAAAAATAAGTAAATAAAGAGATTATGTCCATCTACAAAAGTTGTCTGCAGGCAGAATTCTGTCTCCTCTGGGACACCTCTGTCTTTTTCCAAAGGACTTCAACTGACTGGATGAGTCTTACCCCACTGTGGAGGGTAATCTATTTTACTCAAAAATCTACTGATTTAAATGCTAATCTTATTTCAAAGCAGACCCTTTATAGAAATGTCCAGATGTGATTAGCCAAATATCTGGGTACCATGGCACAGCTACGGTGACAAAACATACCAACAGGTTGGAAGTTATTCCCCTTCTTCCTGCCAGTTATCCAGAAATGATGCTGGGCTTACCATATTAGGGAGATAGCATGTCACATGATGGCAGGACCAGCAGACATCTCTGAAGCACTAATGGGCAGAGCCCAACCAGGACAACATGTATTGGCTAACCAGCCCTGGGGCCCCAGATGAGGTGCTTAATTAGAACCTCTGGTCAGGACATTGCTCAAGCACAATAGAAAATGGAAAAGTAGTTCTCATCCCTGTCCATGGGGGCCCAACACTAACTAAGATTGGCCCCAAAAGACAGTAACAGATCAGGTTGAGGTAACAACTTCCCCATGGAACACTCAGAGCCTCTCCTCTTTCCCTTATGCCCAGGAGCCCACCACTTCCCACTTAGTAATTTCTCTAAACACAACAGTACAGATATCACCCACTTTCTTAGAAAAAAGAAAAAAATTCAAAAATGCACAAAAGTATTTTAAAAAAAACCATAATTTCACCATCTGTTTAATATTTTAGTGTTCAGAAGGAAAAATGAATTGAAACATGATTTCCTTAACATTATAAGCAATTTCCTAACATTAATATTTTTAAATGATTAACCACATGTTCCTTTATAATTTATTTAATCAGCCCTCTATTATTGGACAGTTTTTCCAGTGTTACTATTTTAGTTATTATGATTTTTGTTGTTGTTAATCTTTGCATACATATTTTTTACTATATCCAGTCACATGAAATAAATTCTAGGAAGTAGAATTGATGGGTCAACAGCTATAAGTATTATAGCCTTTATTTTGTTATGGCCAAATTATCTCCTTGAAAATCACACTAATTTATACTCACACCATCAGCACAAGAATAAATACCTATTTCTGGGCTGGAGTTGTGGTTCAATGTTGGAGCACTTGCCTAGCATGTATGAGGCTCTGGGTTCGATCCTCAGCACCACATAAAAATAAACAAAATGAAGGTATTGTGTCCATCTACAACTAGAAAATATTTTTAAAAAGAATATTTCCCCAAATTCTATATATAAAACATATCTGCTCTTTTGATAGGCCTAAAGTGATGTCTTCTTGTTTCAGTTTGCACTTCTTTGATTATAAGTGAGATTGTTCTGTTTTTATTTTTCACATTTACTGGTCATTTTGAGGTTTCCTTTATTGGTTGTACAGAAGCCAAGGCTAAATCATCTCAGACAGCCCTGATACTCTGAATCCTGATTCTAAATCTTGCTGAAGGTATATTTTATTGTTTTCCTAAATCTTTTAAAAATAGTTCTCATGGTTCCTTTGTTTCTGATGACTTTTCACCTAACAGCCAGAGCATGAATAATGTTCCATGGTTAATCACATTTAGCCTGCTGCAGAAACTGTTTTAGTTTATCAAGTTAACTCAAGGGAATTCTCTGAGAACAAAGTTAAGATTTGGAGAGGTTCCAGGGCTGTCTACCCTGGCCAGCTTCATTTAGGCTCAGCACCTTGAACACAGCCCCAACTGGGCAAGAGCTCCTGATGGCTGCTCACTCATCTCTCCTACTCTAAATATTTTGGTTATTATTCTATCCCTAAGCACCTACATTTTATCAAACTCAAAAAATATTTATTGATGGAATGAATAAAATTCCTAAGAATAAAGAGTTTGTTGTCAAAATCAAACTGCAAACAAAATGGGAGAAATTACAAATAGATGTTATTCTCAACTCACTATGTGTAAAAGCTATCATCTTAAGTTTCAAAGCCATGGAGGAAGTCACATGGAAAAAAAGATTTTTTTTTTCTTTACTCCAGTTCTGGAATCAAACCCAGGACCTTGTGTGTGCTAGGCAAGCTCTGTACCACTGAGCCATATCCCATCCCTGAAGATTTGATTATATAGAATATTAAACTCTATAGATCAAAAATATCAAAAGAGAAGTATCACACTGGGAAAACATTGTGTGTGTGTGTGTGTGTGTGTGTGTGTGTGTGTGTATTCAAATGTATACACATACACACACACCCCTCAAATAAATACATTCATCCACACATATGTATGATGCATCAATATGGAAATAAGGGAACTAAGATATTCCAATACAAAAATGAGAAAAGAACATAAAACAATTTTCAAATGAGAAAGTACAAATGACTAAGAGCTATACAATAACAAAGAAAAACCATTTTCTAACAACTGTTATTAACAAAAAGACAGTAATTATAATACTGCTGAGTAGGGCACAGGGAATGGGGCATACCCTCCTAGATCTTCAAAGTCAACTTTTTGAAACTCAAGACATTCAGTTTTTTTTTTCCTTGCATTTTAGCCATTTAGACCTTACCATAGGAGCAACACATATCAAAAGACTTCAGTGACTCTAAAACATTGGGAGAAGGCTAGAAGCACAAGGAATTGAAACTGGTAGATTAATATTAAAGTACTATTCCATTACACATAGGTAGAAATCAAATGTGATTTATTCATTGGTAGTATTTTCTACAGATAGCTCATCAACACTTTATTTCAGTCACCTATGCCTTAGATCAAAGAATTATTGGTGAAGTTACTTGTGTTACTGATACTGCTTTTTATTGGGTATTGGTTTCCCAGAGGTACAGAGAGTGCGATGGAATGATGAGCCACACATAAGCCACATAATACAAATAAAAATTTTTCTGTTACAAAATCTTATCTTTCAAAAAAACGTTCATTATCTCTCAGCAGATTTTGTTTTCTTCTTGTGTGTTTTGT